TCCAATGCTCCATCCCCAACCAATAACCTCTTCCACTGCTCAAGTATCATGAGTACCTAAAACAAATTAATCTATTTCTTGTCATTTACTCTGACACAAACTTTTTTGTTTTATTCCTAATGTTTTTATTACTTTCTTACATTCATATGCCCCCTATAATGAAATATATAAAATAACAGGAAACTGCCAGCACCACACTGCAAATTTCGATATTCTATTTACAAATTAACATCAACAAATAGGAAAAAAAGGGGAAAGAAGTAAATGAAGGATAATTACAGAGGATCCTCAAAAAGAGGACAAAAAGAAACAACAAATATTGATACACAAGGTCCTAAAAGAAGACATTACAAAAGGGGTTCAACTGTAGCATGGTTGACTAGAGGTATGTATCCCAACAGCCTACATACAAAAGCAAACTCCAGGATAGTAAATACAATTATACACCTCACTGATGACAAAGCATCAGGCTGCAATGAATAGATCTTTGTGGCTGTGGATGAGAGGATTATCATCTCTATATTCATCCATTTCCTCCAATTCCATTTGATGACTGTAATTTCCAAAGAGGGAGAATTAAGAGTGCTAGAAGTGGACTGGAGGGCATCACTGATTTTCTACATAATAACTCTTAACCCATCAACTTTCAGCTCAATTCACTCTAGTGCATGATGCCTATAACTGTATCCGATGTGATGAGTTCGTTTATTATGATGGCTATAGGCGTAGCCAGGCAGATATGGGTTAAATAATGGACTGAGTATTGTTTGTTTCTTCTTTTTTTGCTTTATGAATCTAAGAAAAAATAAACAACTCTCAATCTATTCTATAGAAGACAATGCGGAAAATTAAGTGACTGTTTCCCCTCAACAATCTCTGGCACGCATAAGTCCTCCTACACATGGAACTAACTTGGAGGAAGTGTATGACAGGAGAGTTGACGATTCCCGCCCATTCCTTCAGCATAAGCCTAATCACATGCACCTGACACTTTGTCGTTGAGCACAGGGAGCATGAGCATGACTATTTACTTTCAGGAGTTTATTCTTGTTATGCATTAATGATCTCAAATAGTATTACAGACTGCAGCAAATGTTCTTCCTGCTTGCCACAAAATTTTGGTTATGTAAGAATCAAATAGTAATTAAAGGGGTGATGAATTACAGGGGGAACACCTGTCAATTATCAGTTAGATGCTGGGTCAATTCACTACTCTGAAGTTTCCTTTATCATGATACTACATGTAGTAAGAAGTACAGGAGAATATCAAAATATATTTTGTAGTCCAAGTTCAAATAAATGTAAAGTATTTGTCACAAGTATCAATCAGTTACAATGTAGTTTCTGTACTGGAGGCTGTTGTCATGCTGGAAGCAACGACATCTGTGGAGGAGTCTCTGCGTATGGTGTTTTCCCTTGGAACTCGAGGGTGAGGAGGAGATCTGTGAATTGGAGGTGTGAATACATCCTGGTGTGGTGATCGAGCATTGAATGGGACTTTGTAGGTGACAGGAGAGGAAGGTGTGTAGCAGGGGTTTGGTTTGCTACCTGAATTACAGTGGTTAGTCAGGATGGGAGAGGGAGTATGGCCCAAATACTGAGATGTTCTTCTTGACATGTAAACAAAACTGCCTGCACTATTGGCCTGTGTTGTTGGATCTGAAGATTGTGTTGTCGAATTGGATACATTTGCTGTTGTATTTAAACTAGAACTATGATAAGGTGATATGGCCGCCTCAAAATCTTTCAATCCTTGCTGTTTTAACACATGTGGGATATTATTCCCATTATCATTTTGCCTTGAGGCTTTATGGATGTCACTACTCTGCACATTCATTGGTTTCCCATGCTGTGATCTTGAAGGAACCAAGGAGAGTCGACCTGGGGAGTCCTGTGGAGAGACATTGCTTGTCTCACTTTCATAACTCAAGGAAGCACTGATTAGGGATGAAGGGGTGGAGGGAGTCCCTGAGTCATGGCCTTCTGCAGCCCAGTCCCAAGCACTTCTTGAGTGTGTCCTGAAGGTCGGGCTCTTCAATACACTGTCTGGGGAAGAGGGATGAATACTTCTAGGTGAGTTTTCTTCCTCAGATGGAGAGTTGACTTGGTTGACTGGTTGACTTCTGGATCTTGAGTGTTGCATCAGGCTCATTGCCTTGCTTTTCCCTACTGTGTGTTCAAGTGTTGATAACTTTTCTTGAGACACATTTTTGGATGACTGGCAGTATATACAGGTTGACTGTACCTTACCTGTTTCCCCTATATATGAAGGAAACATCTGAGTCCCTACATCCACCACACTGACCTTGAAACCAGTAAGCCTGTTCTTTTTAAGGTCCTCCCTATCACTACCCTCCTCCGGCAAGATGCTGCTATTTCCATTACCATTGATTTCCTGCAAGTCCTCCAAGTGAGTGCTATCACCTAGGATGTTCTCACCCGTGTCAGTTTTGAGCGAGCCGCAGGTGCAGGACGAGCAGTGGCGCCTGGCCCTTTCACG